TGATGGATCCAGGCCAGAAGGCAGCTGGTGGGAGAACATCAAAGATGCCGGCAAGCGCATCTTAGCCGGCACCTCCATCTCCATGTTGCACATTCAGAACACCGGCCAACAGGTTCGCAAGGTGGCCTTTTCATCACCGATCCCTGGCCATACCGTGGGTATAGATCTAGGGGCAATGGGCGGCTCGATGATGTGCTCGCGGCATGCTTTTCTGTGTGCTGCCATGGGAACAAGCATCCAGGTGGGATTCACACAAAAGTTGTCGGTCGGCTTCTTTGGTGGCGAAGGGTTTCTTTTGCAGAAGTTGGAGGGCAATGGGCTTGCATTCATCCATGCTTGTGGGGCAGTGGTCCGGCGCGAACTGAAAGAGGGCGAGCAGCTGCGTGTGGACACTGGCTGCGTGGTGGGCTTCTCTGCAAGTGTGAACTTCGATATTGCACGGGTTGGTAACATCAAGACATCTCTCTTTGGAGGCGAGGGTATCTTCTTTGCAACCCTCACAGGCCCCGGTGTAGTCTGGATCCAAAGTGTACCTTTCAGGAAGTTCGCCATGAAACTGTACCAAGAGATGCCTAGTCAAACCAAAGAAGTCAAAGAATCTTCGAGCAGCAGCAGGAAGGACTGAAATAGGCATGGGGACGAGTTGAAGCTAGCGGACCATGGTTGATGGAAGACGCGATGTACCCTGCCCTAACCCGAATGGTGTTCTGCACAACTTCGCCCCATGGCCGCAATTTCGTGCAAGGCCACATCATCTCCCCTCTCCTCCCGTTTTTCCTTGCTTTCAGGAGGACACCAGTGCACAGAGTCTCCTGAGGCACCTTTTGCTGGAGGAAACAATCTATCTAGGTGCGCCGAGTTCTTGGCCCAGCGCAAAATGCATCTGAAACATCACCTTTGTGTGTGCAGCTGTAGCTTTCCATCCTCTGCAAAAGTAGCAAGCGGCTCTGCGTACATGGTGTACCCTAGAGAAAATGCCAGCGACGTCACGAGATCAATGTGTAATTCTGATGTACCCTAAACCCTAAACCCCCCGACAACTCCTTACTGGGGAGGGGCTTGTTTGTGGGAAGGCAAACTCCTTGCTTGGAGGTTCATGAGTTTTTAATTGTGCTAGAGGTACCCTTAACAGGGCTGTAGCCTTGGGTACCGTGATGAGAGCTTTGGAATTGAAGCCAGGGCACAACGCCAAGCTCGTGGTGATCACCAGCTGTGCCCCGAGTGCCGGTATTCATTTCGGCAGGTTTCGGCTCAACCCCAATTTGCCCATCTGGCTTTGCAAGTCTCAGGCCCCGAGCCACCCCTGTACTGTAAGAAGACATCTGCGCAAGTTCGGACCCCTTGGTGTTTGTTCCGTCAAAGGAACGAATCCATGCTCTGGCAGCTCAAGCAGATAGAACTCCCAGGGTCTCCCCAACTCCAACCCCTAACAAGAGGCGTCTAGAGGCGCATCCCGCCACTCCAAACGAGAATCAGGCGGCCATGTTCGGGGATGCCCCACCTCAACAGCTGGCAGCGGTCGGGCGTTCTTTTTGTTTCTTGAGTACTCGAGACTCGAACTCGAATGCTGTAATTTTTGCAGCGCACGGTCTGAAGGAGTTGCGAAGCAGGAGAGCAAGGCGACAGAGAACTAGCCACGCATGTCAATCTAAATGGGCAGCCTTCCTACGACCCGCCGCCCCCGGCCCCCGAAAGCAGTGAAACCTATGAAACTTCAACCACAGGTTCTCGACGCACAGCCGTCATCCTTGACCTCTTGAGAGCCTTTACGCCTGCGCCTAAGCTTCACGAATGTAGCGCAGAGCACGCGGCGCAACAGCGCACGGAATCGCTGCTTGAAGGCGTAGCTTGCAATACGGGAGCATGAACTGCACGACAGTTTGAGCTGAAGAGTTGGCTGCATGTAGCTCTGAGGGTCGTATGCTGTACGATGTGATGCAACATGCCATCGCCTCTGGTGTTTGTGGATTTCGGTCGCGCGGCATAGCCCAAGTCTTAACGCTTTCTCCATCTAAACCCATCATGCCCAGTGCTTCAAGTCAATACTACGATGCCTGGCTCAGGTGGACAGACTAACCTCTCTGGAGGCTTGCTCAAGGGCCGCTTGACTGAGGGTGTTGGATCTAGGTTTGACCAGCGCGTGATCAGGGGCTGGGATGGGAGGCAGTGCCAAGCTTGAGACATGCAAGTGCGGCAATGCCTTGTGTGTTGATGGAATGCATGCACAAAAACCTTGCAACTAAAATCTATAGCCCTTCCTTAGCCATGCAAGACCCCCTACCTGACAAATGCGTGAGATGCTTCAGGTTTCCCGAATAGGCACTTAAGTCGTCCTCTTCAAGGCCTTCCAATCGTCATACAGCCATCTCTTTGTGCGGCACGCGTGCAGCTTGAACTCTACAGTGTTGCAGCCGTGTAGAATCTACAACCAACCCTAAACCCAAATGTCTTTCGAAGTCCCGCTATTCCACAAACCCGAAATCATATGCAAAAAGCTTATAAGCAGTAATAACCCTGCTTAAAACTTCCAGTAGACTCTGTGAGCCTCGACGCCGAGGTTTGGAGCTCCACAGGGAGAAGCCGCAGGCCACGCCCTCCGAGGGCCAAGTGGTGCAGGCGGAGCCTTTGGCCTTGCTTTGAGGTTCTTGTCTGGGAGTCCAGATGTGTTGGATTCAGAGCTTTCAGTTTAGGGTCTTTACTTTGGGGAGCTTCGAATCACTGAATCACCCCGAATCCCAACAAAAGCATTAGTCACTAGTCCGGAAATCCCAGACCACAAGCCACCCGGGAAATTCCATAAAGTTCAAAACCCGTACACATACTACAACTGCCGCTACTTGCTGAGACCCAAAGCCCCTCGCAGACCTCCAGCCTAAAAGCTAGAAGCCCGTGCCCCTGCCAGGTTGGCAACACTTACCATCGCCTTACACCGGCAGGGGCAGAGGCCAGCCGATGCCAAGAAAACGAAAGAAGCCGGGCTTCGGGGAATTGGTATGGGCATTGGCTTTGGCGTGGCTGAGATGTCGGGTTCCGTCCCTTTGTGTGTTTAGGGCGAGGGGCCCAAACGCAAAATATGGCAGGAGATTGAATTTCAAGGTTATCCTTAAGCGGGCCTCCCCTTCCGGCCCCCTCCCTTCTGAGGCATTGGATGAGGCGCGTCGCGCCACCGATGGCGGAAACTTGCAGCAGGCTCTGTAGATCCTCGAGGACACAGCACAGAAGGGTTCAGAGACCTCGAGGGTAGGGCTGTAAGCGACTACTCAAATCAAAGCCTTTGTGTTGGTCAAAGCTGATTCAACCTCAGCAAATGCAGCCGAACTGACTATACCGTCGTGCCTTGCCGAGTCCTTCCCATAGGGTCTTGTTGTTGAAGTGAAAATTTCTTGAAAGTTTCGTAGAGTCTGCGGAGTCTTCGAGCGCATTAGCCTGCAGCATGCAAGACCTCCACAGGACGCGTCGGGAACCTCGGGCGCTTCTCCACTGGCGCAAGGCGGAGTTCCCGTGTACCTAGCCCTGGCAGTTGGGAGGATCTTAGGGATGATGTTGATAGGTGTTCAGGAGGCTTCGTGGTTTGGAGGTTCGGGACTTGTTTACGAGATTTGCGGCTTGCTTCTGCTTTGAAAGTATGCCGAATCTTCTGCGTTACGTGTTTAGTTGTGAATCTCTTTGAGGCAGATAGAATGACAGGGAGCCTAAACATCGCTTCCTGCAGTCTAAGCATTGAGCCAGCTGCAACACCCTTCGATGCCGACTGTCGTCAAAATCCCCAAGTCAAGGCATGGCAGAATCAGGTGTTTTTCAGCCTTCAGCCCCCAAAGCCCTCGAAAGGTGCCTTGCTTGGCCTTTTCACCGATCTCCGCGAGTGCATGGCTGACCTTCACCATCGCGAGGACTACTGGAAGCCAGGGACTCCCATAAATCGGGGCCGGGGCGAGTTGCTGGGCACGGTCATTCCTCAGAAGCTGCGGGGTTGGGGCCGGTCGGGGATTGCTCCAAGACTTCAGGATTCAAGGCTTTAGGGCTTTGTTGTTAGTGTTAAGAAGGTTCGTCGAGAGGAGGGCATCATTCTTTTGGAGGAACAACTGCCCCCGAATTAGGGTTTAGGGTTTTAGGGTCTAGGGTTTAGGGTTTAGATTTGAGCACTGTCGATGCGCGATGCTTGATGCTTCTTGTCTCCACACTTCGTCAAGCGAATGTGGGGATTACCGGGCGGTGGTAAAGGCCCGATGCAAAAAGGGTTCAGACTTTAACTAGGGCTTCTTTTGGTGTCTGTAATGCAAGCCCTCCTTAAGTTTGGTCCACCTAGAAGCAACATAAACGTACGTAATGCAAGCCCTCTTTAAGTTTGGTCCACCTATAAGCAACATAAACCCCAAGCCTGAAAAACACTATCTGAATGTAGTTCCAAAACCTACGAAACTGGAGGTTTTAACCCTTGATCCAGTATGCCCGCCTTTCCGAGACCTTTTCGGCTTCGAGCATCAGACGATGGACGGTCGACGTTTGATTGAGTCAGGGGTTACATTGGGAGGTTCTATTTAGGGCTGAGGTCCTAGAGGTTAGTGGTTGCGGGTTGAAAATTGAGGGATCCGTTTTGGGTTCTAGGCTTCCGGCATCGTAGTAAGAATTTCGAATTGTCATGGAGTCCTTATTCAGATTTCATTTGGTGCATGCATGGATGTTAAGATCCAATGGAAGGATGATGTTGTTGTTTGGCTTCAGAAAGATGTTGTTGATCGTGTGTTTCTGCCTGGCTTGTTGGTGAATCGTGCATTGCTTGCTTTGTCGGTTGGCGGGTGTGATCGGGAGGCTTGGCGGGTGATCTTCTGTGCGCTTGCGCTTTTGGCGAAGAGGATGGTGGTACCAGACACTTTCAGTTAACCACTCGTCATCTCATGATCCGGCACGAAAGGCAGTTCAGCTGGCCCCGTGTCGGTAACCACTCCGAATACTGGATTGTGGGAGATGGGTGGGGCTGGACCTCGCGGTTGGCCGTGCAGGAGGGCTCATCCAAAGACCCGGTGATGCTAGTGTGGACCTCTTTCTTGGCAGCGCCCTTTGGGGAAGCAATTCCATGGCCGACCCTCTTGGGAGAGCCCTCTGGTTTGTCTTCCATGGCCCGTCCATGATCGAGAGTGCCGAGAGGCCGGACACACGACCCGGAGCCGGCGAGGAAGAGTGAGACTCACGGCGAGTGAGCTTGGTCTACCCTTCTGGAGTGTTTCGTGTTGCTTTCTTCCAAGCCTGGAGCCGGTCACGGAGGGTGGTGGGGAGGGTGGTTTTGTGTCGGGCAGGGCTTCGTCGTGAATGCTGCTTCTGCTGGCTTAGTTCGTTGTTAACTTGTTAAGTTTATGTTGATGTTGGTGGTTGTTTGCGGTCGTTATGTTTATATTGCTGTGGTGGTGGTGGTGGTGGTGGTGGTGGTGGTGGTGGTGGTGGTGGTGGTGGTGGTGGTGGTGGTGGTGGTGGTGGTGGTGGTGGTGGTGGTGGGGGTGGGGGTGGGGGTGGGGGTGGGGGTGGCGGTGGCGGTGGCGGTGGCGGTGGCGGTGGCGGTGGCGGTGGCGGTGGCGGTGGCGGTGGCGGTGGCGGTGGTGATGTTAGGTGTTGATGTTGGTGATGGTGTTGATGTTGTTGTTGGTGGTGGTGATGGTGGTGATGGTGGTGCCGGTGCTGGTGCTGGTACTGGAGTTGGTGCTGGAGTTGGTTTTGGTGTTGGTGTTGTTGTTGCTCTTCTTCTTGTTCTTGCTGTTATTGTCGTTTAGATCGGGGTTCTGGCGTGTGGGTTCTTTTTGTTCTTATTGCTGTTGGAGTTGTGGTGTTTCTTGTTATGCTTCTTGTTGCTTGTTGGGCTTCTTCTTTGTGGTTTAGGTTTTATGTTCAGGGTTTAGGGATTCGCGGATTAGGGTTTGGGTTTCAGGGCTAGGATTTTAACAATGGTTTCACCGTTCAGTTTATTGAGGGTGTAGGGTCTATTCAGGCTTAAGGTTATTTCGGATTTTAAGGTTTTGCTTGGGTTTGGTTTAGGATTTAGGGTTCAAGGTTCATTCAGGTTTGTTCAAAGTTTACTTGCGGTTCGTGAAAGCCTTGTATATTTCAGGGTTCTTTACTTAGAGCTGATTAAGTAAGGGTCAAGGTTTCATTGGGGTTCAAGGTTTCGGTAGGCTTCAATCGTCGAATGTTGAATTCAAGTTAGGGGTTTGTTTAGGGTTGACTGTTTATTTAGGGTTTCAGGTTTATTTGAGGTTTTTAGGGTTTGAAGCGTGAGGGTTTATTCGGGTTTTATGGCTTTTACTTGGGCTGCTGCAGGATGTACACGCGCGCATTGGGATTTAGTTCATTACGGCTTACAGGGTTATCTTGGGCTTCCAATTTTGGTTTAGGGTGTTAGGTTTTAGGGTTTATTTAGGGTGTAGTATATTTCCCCTGTCAAGTTTTTACGTCGCTGAAAAAGCACTTCAGTAGCTGCTCCGGCTCGAGCGCCTCCACGAGGCGCCGACTGAGGTGGTTGACCCCCGCGGGGGTTTAGGGTTTAAACCCCTAAACCCTAAACCCTAAACCCTAAACCCTAACCCCTAAATTTTAGACGGCCAAGGCCGAAGATGCGCCAGCGCAGGTTGTGGTTTGAAGAGCAGAAGGAAAGCGGGTTTGATGGAAAGCAACCGACAACCACAATTCAGTTTAAGTAAATTGGTAAGTTTCCGAAAAAGCAGTTTGAGCCGAACGGAGGTTTAAGTAAATTGAAGGCACCGAGGCAAAACAAAAGGGAGCAGAGCAGAGCAAGGCAGGGTTGCAGAGCTAAAACGCCCAATTTGGGGGCTTGGAGAGGAAACAAACGCTGTAAAGCTAGGGGTGAGAAAAGCCCAAGTTGAGGGCTTGGAGAAGGTCTGGAAAAGGCAGAAAACCTCAATTTGGGGGCTTGGAGGGGGTCTGGAAAAGGCCAAAACCCCAATTTGGGGGCTTGGAGGGGGTCTGGAAAAGGCACAACAGCCCAATTTGATGGTTTGGAGGGAGTCTGGAAAATGCCAAAAAGCACAATTTGGGGCTTTGGAAGGGGTCTGGAGAAATGCAAAAAAACTTGATTTGGGGGCTTGGAGGGGGTCTGGAAAAAGCCAAAAAACCCCAATTTGGGGGTCTGGAAAAGGCCAAAAAGCCCAATTTGAGCCTTTGGAGGGGGTCTGGAGAAAGGCCAAAAAGCACGATTTGGGGGCTTGGAGGGGGTCTGGAAAAGGCAAAAAACCCAATTTGGTGGCTGGAAAAGCCGGAAAACCCAAATTTGGAGGCTTGGAGGGGGTCTGGAGAAAGGCAAAAAAGGGGCTTGGAGGGGTTTGGAAAAAAATAAAAAAACCCAATTTGGCGGCTTGGAAGGGGTCTGGAAAAGGCAAAAACACCAAATTGGGTGCTTGGAGAGGGTCTGGAGAAAGGCAAAAAACCCGATTTTGGGCTTCGGAGGGGGTCTGGAGAAAGGCCAGAAAAACCAGAGGGTTGGAAAAAACCACAAAACCCAATTTGGGCCTTTGGAGGGGGTCTGGAGAAAGGCCAAAACCCCAATTTGGGGGCTTGGAGGGGTCTGGAAAAGGTTCAACAGCCCAATTTGATGGTTTGGAGGGGGTTTGGAAAATGCCAAAAAACCCAATTTGGGGCCTTGGAGGTGGTTTGGAGAAAAGCAAAAAATTCGATTTGGGAGCTTGGAGGGGGTCTGGAAAAGGCCAAAAAACACCAATTTGGGGGTTTCGAAAAGGCCAAAAAGCCCAATTTGGGCTTCTGGAGGGGGTCTGGAGAAAGGCAAAAAAAAAGCACGATTTGGGGGCTTGGAGGGGGTTTGGAAAAGGCAAAAAACCCAATTTGGTGACTTGGAGGCAGAAAACACCATTTTGGAGGCTTGGGGGGGGTTTGAAGAAAGGCAAAAAAGGAGGCTTGGAGGGGGTCTGGAAAAGGTAAAAAAAAACAAATTTGGCGGCTTGGAGGGTCTGGAAAAGGCAAAAAACTCCAATTTGGGTGCTTGGAGAGGGTCTGGAGAAAGGCAAAAAAACCCGATTTGGGGGCCAGCAAGATGCCAGCAAAAGGGTCAAAGCCAGGAAAAAGGGCAGGGCGGGCAGGGCAGGGGGCAGGGCAGGGGGCAGGGCAGGGGAGGGAAGGGGAGGGGGGGGGGAGGGGGCAGGGCGCAGGCAGGGCATGGCAGGGCAGGGCCAGGGCAGGGGCAGCGGGCAGGGCAGAGCAGGGCAGGGCAGAGCAGGGCAGGGCAGGGCAGGGCGGGAAAAGTTTAAAACCGACACCGGAAACGGAACCGGAAAAGATTAGGGACCAAGGATTAGCCCTATAAGAGAGTGATGCTAGTGCTTGCTTCGCGTGATATGCTCGGGGCGCCTTGCGCAGTCTCAAAAAACTGCGCTGGCGAACCCCTAAACCCTAAACCCTAAACCCTAAACCCCTAAACCCTAAACCCTCAAGAGCAGGATAAATAGAAATTGTGTGTCTTTCGCTTCGAAATGGATTGCATCTTCGATATTTTCGATTTTTCCTTAAACGTGTGCGTGGGAAGCCACACCCGCCCAGCCCAGTCCTGCCCAGCCCAACCCAGCCCAATTCAGCAGCTCCCAACCAGCCCAGGTCCAGCCCCGCCCACAGCCCAGCAGCCAGCCCCAGCCCCAGCCCAGCCAACCCACCCAGTCCCCCCAGCCCCCCAGCCCAGCCCCCACCCAGCCCGCACCAGCCAGCTCGGACCCCAGTCCGCCACCCAAAATGAAAGTTTCAAGTCAAAAAACAAAACCTGCTCAGAACTTTCGGTCAAAACGTTTCGGTCAAAACTGTCCCCCAAATCCCAGAAACCAAAATTCAAAAGCAAAACTCAAAACCCGGCAAAACCACCCAAAACCCACCAAAACCCACCGAAACTCCGGACCCAAACCCTATGCAATTTCTATCCGGGCTCGAACCCTATACAATTTCTATCCGAAGAAGACGGAGGCGGGGACGAGTCGGAGAGCTTATGGGGTCCTAGGTGCGTGGTCTCAGCCCGAAGAAGGCAGAGGCAGGGACGAGGCCGGAGGTCAACGGTGGAACAGCCGACCCAGCCCGGCCCAGCCAATTGCCTAAATCAAAATGCAAGAGCAAAAAACAAAACCCGCTCAAAACTCGCTCATAACCAAAACTTTCGCCCAGAACGTTTCGCTCAAAACTTTCGGTCGAAACCCCGGACCCAGCCCCGGCTGGATTTCGCCCTCCTATCCCAGCCCAGCAGCCGCCAATAGCCGCCAGCGGCTGCTCCCAGCACAGCCCCCAGCCCAGCCCCCAGAGCCCAACGGTCGCCCAGCCGACCCAGCCCAGCCCAGCCAATTGCCGAAATCAAAATACAAAAGCAAAAAACAAAACCCGCTCAAAACTCGGTCAAAACTCGGTCAAAACTCGGGACCTGAACCCTATACAATTTCTATAAACCCTAAACTCCGGCCTAAGCGCCGCCGCCCCACTGGCGGCGGCGGCCTAAGCGCCCCTCGCTACTTTTGCGACTCGCTCCTTTCCCGGGCTTCATGCCTTCCACGGAACAATACAACTAGCACGTACGTGGCACCACAAGCGTGAACCTGTTCTCTTTTGGGACAGGCCTGTCCCTGGCGTACGCCAATATTACAATAGAACATAGATATTACCACAAACCCTAACCCGGTGCTCCGTGACGTGCGCGCTTCCGGGGGGCTATTTTAGTCTAGTTGTCCTTTTGGAATGGCTTTGATTTCGTCAAAAACTACGAATGTCACGAGGATTCTGCTTGTCAGGGGCGCAGTCCTCGAGACAGTTGTCAAAATCTGAGCTTTTTGGTGGTCCTCCCGGACGGATTCTGGGCTTTTGATGGCTTCGCGCGGACAGAATCTAGCTTTGAAGTTGCCAAAACCCATGAAAAATACCAGGATTTTACGAGTCAGGGCCACGATCCTTGTGACAGTTGCCGAATTCTGAGCTTTTTGGTGTCGTACCGGACGGCTTCTGGTGTTTCAATGGCTTCTGCCGGACAAAATCTGCCAAAAACAAAGCTAGATCGCGAATTCGGCGGCTTTGGAAGCAGGAAATCCAAGAAATACAAGGGGCCTTGGAAATGGCCTCCGGAAAAGGAGCGGGCACTGCAAAATCTACGATTTTGGTGCTTTTGTGGGGTTTCCCCCATCTCGGGCCTTGGAAGCAGGAAAG